TCGCCCTCCTCCTCCTCCTGCACCGCTCCGCTCCCCCCCGCCTTCTCCGCGGCGCAAAACCTGCCCCGGGCTCCCTCCTCCGTGCCGCCCGTGTCCGTGCGAGGACGGGCACCGAGTCACCTTGGTCCCTCGCAGGGATGCTGCTCAGCTCCTCTGCCAGCAAGCCAAATGGCTCATCTAACCCCCTGGTACCAGCTACAGACCACTACCCCAGCGGCTTGTATCTACCCCAGCGGCTTGTATAAAACTAGTTTCTCCTTCACTCAGGTGCTAAGTTAATTTAAAAGGCAGTAAACAGGTGTTCCTGATACGGAAAATGTGGTCAAGCATTGGAACAGGCTGCCTAGAGAGGTGGTGGAGTCCCCATCCCTGAAAGTGTTCAAAAAACGGGTAGATGTGGCACTCTGGGACATGGTTTAGTCTAGTCTACCCTTGATTGGCTTAGAGTAGACTTGGTAGTGTAGGTTAATGGTTGGACTGGATGATCTTAAAGGTCTTTTCCAACCTAAACGATTCTATGATTCTATATAAACAATTGTAAAGGCAGCAAGTTTGTGAGAGTCTTTATTGGCTGGGGTTTTCCTATGAAAGGTAGGAGCACTTGCTTCACATAGATAGTTCCTGAGACCTATTTGATTAATTATTTTCTTGTATGGGATTACATCAAATATTCCCCTTTGTGCTCTCACCAGTAGAAAAAAAGCAACCAAATCACTTTGGGTGTATAAAAAGTTTGCAATTTACCTATTTTGTTACAGAATATGAGATAAAGGGGAATAAACCCACTACGTTTCTGAAGAGGATGCCTTTATACGCTGTCAGATAGCAATGTTTTTTCACACTGGCCTGTGATTTTTTTTTTTTTTTTTTTTTTTTTCCAGGGGGGGGTTCACGCTATTACAGATGAGGTAGCTTTCAAACAGGTCTTGCACCACTGGAACAGCTCTGGTAATGTGCTAGTGTGTGGTTTTCTGGGAGGTGCTTTAAACTGACTAGCATAAACTCATGTTTTTACTGGCAAGATGCAAAACTTAATATGCAAAGGGTAGACCAATTTCAGTTTAAAGATATCAACCTGAAAACAGTCTTTAAAAAAAGAAGTTATGCTGCTTATTGCTCAGTCCTAACTCTGCCTTTTCAATGTATTCATTACTGAAGAGTGTTTAAAATGGAAAAGAAAAAAAGCCTTCTATAAAAATATATATGAGAAAGAAAAGGTGCAAAGATACTAAAAAGTGTATATATTCAAGTTTCCTCTTTCATTTAAGATCAGGAAATAGATGCACCTGAGCTACATTTTAACTGCATTTAAATCAGATTGTTTCTACAAAGCACACTAAATATAACTGTGCTGAAACATGACAGACTAAACATACAGCATTTAATGTTTATACTAAAGAAATATAAAACAAGTTACTGGTGAGACTCAGGGTTTGTAACTACAAGCAAGACCGTGAAAACCCAGGACATCAAGCATGTGCTTGCTAGAAGGAATTTGGGGAGGAAGAGAAGAGATCAAGATTCATAACAAATCTTCACAGAATCAGGTAATATTTTAACGGCTGATTTTCCTGAGTATTCTCAGAAATGTCCCTTGTGTGTCAGCCTTCTATTTACATCTCCAGAGGGAATGGCTCAAATATTTGCAGATGATATTTTGGTGTTGTCTGGAAGGTACCAATATATCTGAGGATGAGGAAGGGCTTGCTAAGTAAGCTTAAAGGGTAAGTGTAAGCCCGGAAGGACGTTTGCTTCTTGTCCTGTGCTGGACTGCAAGTAGTAGCTGCTCAGGACAACGTGCTACTTTTCCACATCACGGATGAACACTGCCTGGGTCATCGCTTCTGCCACAGGCTGCCGAGCTACCTTCGGAGGCTTCAGAATTGCTGTTTTCCATGCATCTCAGCTGAGCATCTTGTAGCAGGTTGTGTGACCCCCATTCTGTGCAGGATTCCACCACTGGTAAAATGGGTTATTAAAAGAGCAGAAGAGTCCCTTTTGTGCACTCCTCTGACTCCTAGTAAGCCCTTGTGATTGCACAGTTCTTCCACGTTATTTTTCTTAGCTGGTCAGTTGATACTTCTTGACTACCTTTTTGTTAGAGGAAGGGTACTAGAAAGCACTTGATCCATCTGTGCTCAAGAACTGGGCCAGTGCTCCCAGTATGTATCTCAAAGTAGCTTTGATTAGACATGCATGCCCTTTAGCATCTTTTCAGGATCTTGAAAAATTGACAAAGTGAGCAAGAAATTTCTATCACTTGTGTAACACAGGAGACATCATCAGTATCTTTCTCTTTTCTGTTCCAACATGGCCACATGCTTGGTTTAAGTTATCTTCTTGAGTCTGCTGGCAGGCAGCTTGAGATCTGCTGCAGCTACTCATAGCCTTACTAACAGCAGCAGTAGCAAAAAAATTCAGAAGATAGTCTCACCGTGCTGCTGCTTTGCAAAACCAGTATCAGGTACAGGAGCAATTTTCTGGACTGAAGTAAAAGCAATCCAAACTCCCTGCTGTCACATGTCAAGTAAGAATAAAACAATAATAAACACTTTGCCAGTAAGTGGAGCCTGCATGCTTTCTATCTCTGATAAACCTCATTATCATTTTTTATGGCATGCAGCATGGTGGAAAACACTGTATAGGATCACCTTTAGACTAGTGCATGTTTTGTGGCTGGCTGTGGCTAGATAAGGTAAGGAAGGCATGGGAAAAGGCAAGGTGAAGGGAACGGGTCAGATACAAAAGTGAGTAGAACTTCAGTTTTGTGTTTCACACAAACAGGCCAAAAAACATCTTGTAGTATTGACACAAGGCAGGTACACAGTTATGGTGATGGTATTAACAAGTGCGTATGCAAACATTATGTCTGAAGAATAGACAATACTGAGAGAAAGTTTCCTGTGAGATTTGCAAAGATACAAAAAGCCAGACAGGAGACAGTTGGCTGCTCTCAGTGAAAGAGGCTACAAAGAAACCCATTGCACAAATTTATGGGAATAGCTGAGGGCATAGAGGAAGATCAGTGCAAAAACTGAGGAGATAAAATCTGTGAGGTAGGTAGTGGTAAGACATGAGGGAAACCTTAGATGGGATAAGCATTTGAAATTAGTTGAATAAACCATAGCTGGCATTCTTATATGCCAGCATTTCAGATTTGAGCAGCCATGCTGCACTATGCAGGAGTCAGCAACTAGCAAAGAAAACAAGCACCAAGTCAGATGTAAGAACAAGCGTCTGCTGTGACCCTCCTCAGAAGTAAAAATCTAGCACAGAAAGCATGTGGGAAGAGGTTTGTGACCTACACACGTCTCTACATGTTTTATGGACGCTTGCCCAAAATGAAATATCAAAGCAGCTGCTGAAAGGCTGACATTTGATGTTACTGTAGCCTGTCAGTCATAGGCTAGCTTGGGGCTAGTCTACCTGCCCAGTCATATTTCACTCACACTTAACAATAAAGTTCCACTTAGAAATGAGTTTAAAAGGATTAATTGATGGTTAGTATGAATTATAAACATACTGAATAAATGGCAATATATACATAATTACAAGCACACCCACGGAACGTGTTAGTGATGGTTATAAACAATCTAGTATGGTACTCAATGAATGGATAATTGTTTTTTCAAGTTTCTGTAGTTCACTTTAATACAGAGTATGACTGCAGTTTTATATCTCAGTGACTAGCCTATTATAAGGTGCTTACATGTCGCTCCTTGGCTTTTCTGCTTCTTTGGAGATGGCTGCTGCTACGTTTGACTTACAATAACTGTGATAAAATCAAACTCTCTGCTTCTCACAGGTGACACTATGCGCATGACTGAGGATCAAATTTAACACAAGAGCCTATCATCAGCCTTGTTAGAGGTAAATGGACAGCATCCGTTCTCTATGGTGCATGATAGTTCTTCAGTAAACTGGCCGAAAGCAAACGCTGTGCCCTAATAATATTTGTGATCTGTTTGGAAATAAGGAAGTCTGCTTGTATTTAGATTTAGTTTAAAGTGCTGTTTTCAAGTGGCTGTGAAATGAACTGTGATAAGGATAAGGACCCACTTTGAGCTGTCAGTTTGCTCTGAAATGAATTGTAACAGTCCAGGCAGTGCTGGAAAGACACGTAATTTATGCACAATTTAAGAGAAAAGCATTTTAGCCCAGGAACTACAGGAATGTTTTCATTTTATATGAAAGCTGTTAATTACAGACAATATTAAATTAATCTTGATTGGATGTCATTAAGCAGGTAGTCATTCCTGTCGATGTTCCTCTGTGTTTTTGTTTGTTTTCTGATTGGAAACGAAGAAAGGTTTCTGTACCTAACTTTTTCCACTTGAGACTCGTGACATGACTTCTCATTGGAGTTGGGAGGCAGTCACTCTGGATTTTTTTGAAAACGAGTGACCAAAAGAACTGAATTCCACTAGAGAAAGAGAAAGGATAGTAATTGATTACTTTAGGGGAAGTTGCCTTTGAGTAAGAGGTGTAAAATGAATCCTGGGACAGTTGTTTTACCATGCATGCTGCTACTTTGGAGGTTTTAATTGGCTGATGCCTATACAGGGTGTGGAAATTTCAATGCATCTGAAACATCTCCTCCTTAGGAAACAGTCCACAACCTGTGGTTTAGTCCTTTATACACAGGGCTTGCTTAGTGTGAGATACAGATGAAAGATGTGCTTTCAGGACTGCTTTCTGAGTACCTTGCTCAGCTAGGGATGTGGATTCTGGGCTGCTCAGGTTCATCTTCCAATTTGGTGGTGGCTCCTTCTGCCAAGCTTAAGTCAGGCTTGTGCCACTTTAGTTGAAGGAATTTTTCCATCAAGTCAGCTCCCACGTTGAAGACCAGAGCCAGCCAGGCCAAGCCAAAAACAATCCAAATTGCAGTTAGGCTCCTGTACACCGGGATATAGTGCTTGTTGGGGTTTGTGCCTGAAAATTCCAGGAAACTTTGCATATTAATCTTGACAGCTTTGGTCTGCCACATATACATACTCATACTCCCTCTCCACCCCCTGCAAAAGTGTATGTCTAACAAGTTTGTGATCTACAATTATTCTTTTTTTTTCTTTTTTTCTTTTTGTGTTCCAGCTCTCAGGTTAAGTTTAGCACAGTTGGCATCAAATCTCGGAAGCTGAGGCTATATAATAAAAATAACCATATCTAATGTTAATCAGGGATGCATAAAATCAAGTGTTCCTAGCCACCAACAAAGAAAAAAATCATCTTGGAAAACCAATGTTGAATCCATATTAGCCATATTTTACCCAAGAGCCACACAGGGGATCTCAGATGATTTAGAAAGATACGGTTCACTACCTCAGTGATATAGCGATTGCTTTTTGTAGGGTGATATACTTCAGCAACCAGGATTCAAAATCACCTGGAGAATATTATATGGGAAATACAGCCATTTTAAGTGAGTGGTTATGAGAATCTTAATCCCCAGTTTGCTGTTTCCACAGCATGGACAATCCGTGCAGCTGATACAGGCACAGGACAGCACCGCAGTCATCCATTTAGTCTCTGTCATCCAGATCATCATGAAACTCCACAGCGCCCAGATTCAGCATGGGATGGGTTTTCATCTCCTTTTTGGACACAGTTATGACCTCTGGGAGAGGAGAGCTACTACTCATAAAGTAACAGACCCTAGTATTTTTTACAAATAAACACACTATACGTAATCTGCTAAGAGCATTTGTTCAAATAAGTGGGTAGAAAAATAGCATCTCACATGTCTCTACTGCTATGTCTCAGCCTGGATCTCTAGACTATGTAATCTCACTGGGTTTGTTTTCTTTCACAGGCATCCTGTGGTTGTCAGTAATATTATTCCTGTTTTAAGTACTGATCATTTCATATTTGACATGATTTCTTATTGGGAATGGTAGGCATTTGCTGAAACAAATCACTTTTAGGAGAGGGTGGTTCAAAGGCTGAATACTGACAAAGAGATTTCATTTACATTCCACCTGTCACTCATGGATCACGTTTGTACCAGCTTGGACATAGTCACTGTTGAATGGGCATTCAGTGGCATATGTGAAATGAGTTTGGTGACTCTCAACTTAGCTGCCAAGAGAAAAATGCCCATGTCAAATAATACGTTAGCTCATTATTACCAGTCTGGCTCAGCTCATTCTTGTACCAGTTTTATAGTGGAATGGATACCTATGCTCTCTGTAGTTACCTTTGTACTAGAGTAATTAATTTCAACAAAGCTCAATCCAGTTCACTTTCTTTATTACCTACTACATAGTCCCCAAATCCAATGGTGCTCAGGGTGATGAAGGTGAAGTAAAAGCCTTCTCCGTAGCTCCAGCCTTCTACGTAACTGAAGACCAATGGTGGGAACACTAGAAAAAGCAAGGTCCCAGTTGTCAGGAAGATGGCAACTGCCAGTGTTTGAACCACCTGAAAGATAAAAGGAAGATGGCAGCTAAACAGCACTGAGCAGTTGTCTAGTGGAAATTGCTGGGTCTGTTTTGCTCTTGAATCACAAACCCACTCCAGCTGGGAGCAATGTCCAAAAAAAGGAAGGATAAACCAATGCTTCCATGTGCTGCAGGCTGGCCTTACTGTTTACCCTGCACATAGATATTGCACCTAATCATGAATCCAAAAAATCTCAAAATTAGGAAAAAAGGAGGATTTTTTTAAAGCTTTTTGCAATGAGTTTTTAAGTATGCTCAAGTCATATTTTCAAACTTATTATGGCAACCATAGGAATGAAATACTTACTTTACAATTTCAGTTCAAGTGGAGATGCTCTTGTAACCAATTGGCTCCTGTCTTTGAGGAAAATCACCAAGTATTGCGTAACTCATGAAACAAAGATTGGCAAGAACAAATTAGGGCTCTCTTCACCATGACTGCTTCTAAAGATTTATAAAGTGGCTTGCAAGAGCTCAGCCAAAAATATGTTTGGATGAAATCTAAGTGAAGTAAGTTTGCCTGCTTTCATTTTTAACTTAGAAGCATTCAGAGCCAAGCTGTTTTCTGTCAGCACAGGGCAGACCTGTGTGTCTCAGCACAAACGTTGTCTGCCTTCTGGGAGATAAGTTACCGTGTATGTGGCTGCAACAGATAGGTACACAGAATGGTCAGTGGATGGGTCATGACAGGGGATTTTAGGAGTTTAGGACTGAAGATCAGGAACTCATGTATTTCCAGGGAACACACTCTGGTGAACTTTTGACTAGTGATGTGTGGGCTGATGCAAACTCATTGCAATTGTTTAAAAACGCCCTCAAGGGCATTCAAACCAGAGTATGATTTTTTTATGCATGCACTTATTGTGACTGGATGAAAAGCCAAACCACTGTTTATAAAGTAGAAGGTCCAGGTATCATGTTTTTCTTTCTCTCTCTGTATTATCTCACATATAAAATAGTCTACTGAGCTTGAGAAACTTGGCGTGAGCCTACTGGGTGACTTTGACAAATCATTTCTATATTATGTACCATGTCTCTCCAGCTGTATAATAATACTTACCTCATTTGCAAAGCACTTTGAGAATTACTGAGCGACATGGTTATAGCTGATATCTGTTCTCATTTAGTTCATTCCAGAAGTGTGATAGCATTTAATTAGATACTGAAGTTTGCATAAAATTTTATACCAAAATGCACAATACTACTTTTTACCCTGGCTTTTAAGAACTTTCTGGTACAAACCTATAACATAGGGGACAGCAGGTCAGGAATGAAGAAGAACTGATTGTAATTAATTTCCCAAAGCATGACTAAATTGTGTTTAAAAGGAGATGAACAAACTTCCTGGAAGGAGCTTTTCAGAGTGAACAAGCAGATACAGGTCCAAAGTTTTGTCTGATCATAGGAGTTCTGTCAGAAACAAGGTGTTAATTCACGAGTGAAAAGGGGGGAAAAAAAAAAAGCTCACATCCTTGAGGTGCTATTAGAAATCTCAGGAAAGATGCAGCTATACCAGTATGAAAATCCTTCTGGTGGTAGAGCTGCATCTATTTGGGGAACAGACATAGGTTATGCAGCTAAAGAACTTCTTGCTCATATAAACCAAGTCTGCGTCTGACTAGCTTTATAGCTTTCCCAGTGTAGGTAGAGAATGCACTGACTCAGAGATTTTACAATGAAAAAGAGGAAAAAAAAACTTGTGCCAGAACTCTGAAATGTTTCAACATATCTAATATATCTAATCTCCCATTTCCCTAAGTAAAGGGATCAATTCATTGAACCTTTACTTAGAAACATGCACTAACTTTGTCATAAATGACCTTCATGTATTTTCTACTATCAGTGCTTCTCTTATTCCAATACTTCTGGACTAATTCAATGACTCACCAATAAATGATAACTAAGGAGAAGGAGTATTATTTACATTTCAAGAAAAGAAAAGGAAGGAAGTGCTAAATTGGTGGCACAGTCAGGGAAAGTAATTCAAGCCAGATTAACAGACCAATAAAAGTAAGTTGTCTTTGCACAGTGTAGGGCTAGATTCTGGATAGATGCTAGCATAGGCTAGATAATAAGAGCTTGATTCAGCAATGTGTGTATGTGCATGTGTTCTGTTAAGGTCACCAGAGCTTAAGGACCCTGCTCAAAATTGAGGCCATGCTTGCTTAACAGTTTTGCTGAGTCAGGTTTTAAAAAGGCAAATCTAGAGTCCGTCAAGCAAAAGCAAATTGCTTTAAAGCTATCATAAATAAATAGAGTAAACCAATTTTCTGATATAGAGGGCCACGTAATTGCTGTGGTTCAGAAAAATGTAGGCACACACAAGGAAACCCAATCTAGCAGCAGATGTACCTATCTGAGAAGAGAACTTTAATTAGTTTTAAAATAGTGGAAATAAATGATAGGTTGACACTGTACCTGGGCACGGCCTGGCTTTTGCACCCATCTTTCCAGGGTAATCAGATGAGCATTGAGGCCTTTCCCCAACTGATTAAGGAAGGCCAGGTTGAGGGGCACTCCAAATAAGGCATAAAACACACAGAAGATCTGCCCTGCCACTGTGCTGGGGGACAGGTTACCGTAACCTGGAAAAAAAGAAGAAAACAGCTGCATGAAAGGGCTTTATAGTCAGGCTGCAGTCCATCATGGGAAGTTCCTAGGCTTGGAAGCTCAACTACATTAAGCTTCAGGAACCTGTGGACTATGATTTTCTGCAATTAAATATGGTACAGATTGCTATAGCTTAGGATGGAGCCCTGTGCATTCACTGCTACTAACAGAAAATTTAACATGAAAAATATTACTCTTGAAGTGGATTGTAATTTTCTATAGGTCTCTGATTTTGTCGTGAGTGCAACCAAGTGCTTCAAAGCAACCTCAGGATGTGCTGTGCATGTACAAAATGATACTGCACATGCCAGGTAGGCACTCAGCTTTTTTTGCAGGTGTACAGGTGTAATATGCTGGATACACAAGAATAACAGGTATAATTGGAAACCAACAGAAAACAGTAACCCACAGTAGTCAATATTGTCTTGCAGGTATATTCTGTCCACCAATTGCACTTTTCTGGCGGCTTTACAGGACAGCTGGAGGAAACCCCAGTTTATAAGGAAAGAGAGTACCTCACCTATAGTGGTGACAACAGTTCCTGCAAAAAAGAAGGAGTTGCTGAAGTCCCAATTACTGGGATTCGTAGAGTTTCCTTCTGGGTTGACCCCTTTTTCCCATGCTTCCATGAGGACCTGAGGCAGAAGAGGTCAAAGGAGCAAAGATGAGCAACCCGTTAGACCAAATCAGGAAGAATGTCAGGAAAAAAGAGAGAAGTAAATATTGCTTTCCATCTTCAGCAAGCAGAGCAATAAACAGTGTAGATAACAGGGTAGAGTGTGACTAAAATGGCCTTGTGCTGACATGGCAAAACTTGGAAATAGAGCTGGCCAGGAACTTGAACTCTTGTCACTGAGGAACTGGCCATTGAAGTGGGATAGGTTCCATAACTAGTTGAAGGCTAAGGGGAAGGGAGTGGAGGGAGTTCCCCAGAGTGATCAAACTGGGAAAAGAAAGTGAATTTATGCCATAAAAAACAAAGGCAGTTCCTCTTCTCTCTTTCCCCAGTCTAATAATCTCATTCCAGTGGGCACGTGTAAATGCATGGTTGTGTCTGTGGGGAGGGGCGTGGGGAACGTTCTCATTTCTGTTGCCTCCATGTAAGTACTAGTGAGGATGAATTACTATTTTTGGTTATGACTTCCCAATAATTTTCAATGAATATTAGGCTTCTCCTAGTCTGAAAGATTACCTAATGAAATATTCTCTGCTATTCCAGATAGCTCTTACCAGATGACCAAAACTACTATGTGCAAAAGAAATGCTGCTCCTATGTATGCATCAAATATCTTGTTAGCTGCTTTAGTGAAGACTGTGTTCCTTTGCTCTCCCCTGAGGATTTCTCTGAAGGAGACTGGTTACCCTATGCTCAGTGGCTGGGGTTTCAAGAATCCCCATGTTTGTTACATACCAATTTTGAGGTCCAGGTCACAGCCTTCGTCATTTTGCCAAATGTCTGAAGGAATTACTTGTTCATCTCTTCTAGAGATTTTGTATGATGCATGACATGAGCAGGATTCAACAGCAACCACAGCTTTAGTTGGTTCCAGGAGTATGAGACCAAAGAAGATATTCCTTCTTGATTCAAATGTTGACCACTGCCAGAAGGGTTGCTTATCTGATGAACATGCCCACTACAAGGTATCTGATTTTGCATAGGTTCTGCAATATTAGCTGATTTGTGCTGGTGGATTGAGTATCCTAAGTTTAATAGCTAATCTTATGCCTTCAGGAAAAAATCCTACAGCATTGGTCAAGTCCATCAGATAGGGCTGCTAGGCATCCTCATACGTGATCTCGTGATTGAAGTGTCAGCAGAGTTTCTTTTCAATATGACAAAGAACTTTACATTATCCATTAAAAGCCTGTTCTTAGAATGGGAGGAATTTGACACATCCAGTTATCTAGAGTTGACTATTTTATTTGCTGGTTAGAAGGAACACACAGAAGCTACTGAGGTGTGAGTCTTTTGAAATGTCTAAAATAATCACAGGTTTAATTCATCCCTGTAAGGAACACTTGTCAGTTCTATGAATTTCAATGCACAAGTGTTCAGAGAAGCTACATTCACATCATGAAAGCCAATGTGGAAGAGTAAGGCAATGTTGAACACTTAGAATTATAGAATCATTTCGGTTGGAAAAGACCTTTAAGATCATTCAGTCCAACCATTAACCTAACATTACCAAGTCCACCACTAGACCAATTAAGGGTAGAGTAGCAATTTCATGTTTCCTGGCTTGGTGGCTGGATTATTTTTAATGAAAGCAAAAACTAGGAATCATTAAGATTGGAAAGGATCTCTAAGATCATCAGTCCAACCATCAACGCAACACCACCATGTCCACTGACCAATGTCCCAAAGTGCCACATCTACCTGGTTTTTGAACACTTCCAGGGATGGTGACTCCACCACCTCTCTGGGCAGCCTGTTCCAATGCTTGACTACCCTTTCTGTGAAGAAATTTTTCCTAATATCCAATCTAAACCTCCCCTGGTGCAGCTTGAGCCTATTTCCTCTCATCCTATCACTTGTTACTTGGGAGAAGAGACCAACACCCACCTCACTACAACCTCCTTTCAGGTAGTTGTAGGGAGCGATAAGGTCTCCCCTCAGCCTCCTCTTCTCCAGGCTAAACAACCCCAGTTCCCTCAGCCGCTCCTCATAAGGCCTGTGCTCCAGACCCTTCACCAGCTTCGTTGCCCTTCTCTGGACATGCTCCGGCACCTCAATGTCTTTCTTGTATCGAGGACCCCAAAACTGGATACAGTATTCCAGGTACGGCCTCACCAGTGCCGAGCACAGGGGGACAATCACTTCCCTGCTCCTGCTGGACACACCATTCCTGATACAAGCCAGGATGCTGTTGGCCTTCTTCGGCACACTGCTGGCTCATGTTCAGCCGGCTGAACTTCAGACATAGTTTGACAAGGACAGCTTTCTTGGTAAGATTATTGCTTTTAAATACAACCCCATGAAAGAAATGGCATCCTGGTGCCCACGAGAATCTTTCCTGTTTAACAAACCTGTTTGTTTAAACAGGTTCATGTGGGACAGTTATAATGGCTCCTAGCTCCTTTTCATGTACAGCTCAGGTAATGGTTATAGCTGGAGTGTGAACAGAGCAGCTGTTGAATGGTTGGTGAATATTAGCTGTTGCCTTTGGGAGCAGAAGTAGCCAGTAAGTAAAAGCAATGTACTATGATTTACAGTAAGAGTATGAAGCCTACATAAAGCTATAGAAGGATGTGGAGAGAATAAAGACTGCCTGCCATTTCTGCTCCTGTCCCCCTGCCAATGCACATTGCAGCCACTTGTGGTCATAGACAAGGGTTTGGTCCTCTTGGCCTATACTTATCAGTTCCTTTGAGGCTGAAAAAGTATAGACATAATCAAAACAGGGACTTAAAAAAGGTACCTCCTTACTCAGTGAATCTACTTCTCAGTTATGCTGTCAGAATGGCATATTTTCCTGACTAAAGAATGTTTACCAGAGACGCATTAGATTGCAGAGTTTGGATTTGCACTTTCCTAAAGCTCCAGGCTGTTCAGCTTAGGAGCCACAGCTCAGGGTCACCTCTCAGCTAGGCAGTTTTAGCCAACCAGAGCCAATGCAGTTTATGGACATGGAATTGCAAGAATTTGCTTCATGTACAATCAAGTCAAATGTTAATGAATTGTAAGTGGTAACTCTATTATTAGTGATAATGTATATGCAAAAAGGAACCTGGGTTGATTCTCAGATTCCAGGATTTAGGTTTAAAGAACTGGCAATAAGACAAGATACCTTGTACTTGTCAGCTGAACAGACTGAATCTAGTCGCTGTGCCTCACCACAGCCTGAATAGTGTGACATTTCAGACTGGAACTTCTGACACGATGAACAGGCCTCCTTAACCATGTAGTTAAATCGTACAGAGAGATGATTGCTTCCGTGCATTAGTTTTAAAGTTAGACATTTAATATGGAAAGACTTCTATTCCCTACTATTATTGAGAGCTGGACAAATTTCTTAAGAGATCTTATAAACGACAGGTGAGTCAGAGGGCACCTGCACTTACATTTATTTACCTTGAGGATTATCAAGTCTATGTACTCTGAAGCTTGGTGCATTGTAGATGATAATTTGGTGCCCTCAGCCGGTTTTGTCTGGAACAGCTTACAAGTGAAATAGTTGCATCTAATTCAGCAGAGATGCAGCAAAATGTGATTCTCTGAGTGGCACAGCAGTGCTAAGGAAGCTCCAGTGGAGCCAGAGAGAGGAGAATCTGGACATGTGTGAACCCTCCCTAAGGTTTCTAGGGTACTGGAGATTTAATTAAACCTTTAAATCCTATGAAGTATCCCAGTTTATTTTAGAATGAGAATCAGGGTTTTCTCCTCTACAATCATTATCACAGAGATAAGGAAAGGACAAGTAGTATCACCAGCCGGTGAAGCTGAAAAAAGCCAGCATGCAAATTCTTGAAAACTAGTCATCTTCTGGTCAATGCCAAATGTTCCACAAGAAATATATCACAGTATTTGTAATCAGAATATTGTCCTTGTAGACAGAGTTTCAGGCACCTTCTCTTCCCTTTCTGATCTGAACTTCACTGTTTGCTTAAATCGATTTAGAGAATGTTGGCTTTTTGTTGATCAAAATCATATACCTTTGTGGAAGTCCTCTGACTTGGACAGTGCAAACTTGCAGCATGTTTAGAGTTTCTATCAGGTTTAATGACATGGTAGAAAGAGTTCAAACTGTTTAGGCACCCAGCTCTGCAACTGGATAAATTTTGAGCATGAAGAAAGTGGTAGTTCAAAGATTTCTGTCCAGTTCTTTCAATACCAGAATGAGAATACGTTTATAATAATACCAAGAAAGGTCTAGCAATTTATCTCCAGCCAGTTTTAAGGAATAGATTAAAATGGAATTGACGATGTCATTAATTGACAACCCATACTGAACAAGAGCCCTTTATCTCTTATTGTAAGTGATAGATAACACAGTTCATGATGTTTGACTTATCTTTTCTTTAGAGGCCTGGAAGTGCAGGACCAGCTTCAAAGGCACTAGACAATTTCTAGTACAAAAGAAGGGCAGAATTTGCACACGTTTGGACTGGAGAACCTTGGTAGGACAACCTACTTCTTGTAGGTTTGATTCTTGTTTTTTGTCCCCATGCATAATTCCCATGTAACAATTAATGAGGGAGCTGAAAACCATGAAGTTGAAATTATTGCAAGGTAGCAGAAAGGCGCATCAGTTCATGACTGGGGAAAAAAAGAAGTGCAATAGATCAAGATAAAGAGGTATGTGAATGGGCTTGAGAAACCTCTGTCTTTCTCTTGTAGAGTTAGTCCTTTAATGTCACAGACAACAGATCAATTTATGACATGCTTGGCCACAGCAGTATAATTTCTTCTAACCAAAATAATGCTTGAGCCAAAATAATGGGAGCCTGTTCCTCTTACCTGTACAAACTGCTCCAAGGCTTGCCTGTCCAAGCATGTGTAGTTCTGCAGGAACTTGAGCTTCTCCAGCTGGAACTGGTCTCGAAAGTGCGTCTCTGCCTGCTTCTCCAGCAGCTGGAACACCATAGCGCCCAGGAGGAGGTAAAAGAGATACCCCAGTACCAGCAGCGGAGTCCAGCTGATCTGCTGGTTGTGCATGGTGAGGAGGGGCATGCTGCTGTTCTGCTGCTGCCAGTCCCTGCTCAGTACTTAATAGGTTGCTGTCCCAAGACTATGCTACCCAGGATGCCCAGGAATCACACACACATGTTCCCAGCTACTGCCCTGGAGAATTTTTTAACAGAACATACAGGTATCAGGCCTATACAAAATGAGACTAACAGGCAAATTTTATCCCTCCCCATCTTTTCTCTATCCCATATAAAGGGAGAGCATTTATGGCTTAATAAGGATATGAATCATAGTGTTTTTCTCCTATTAAAACAACTTTTACCCAAGGATCTCAATCAAATGAATGAAGCCTGACACCAGCTCTCTGAGATTGGTATTGTTTTCCAGCCTGGGAAGCTGAAGTAAAACTGTGGTTGAATGACTTACCCGGGGTCATATAAATATAGAGTCACGGATAGACTCTTAAAGTCTTGACAAGTAAAGCCTTAAACACTAGACTTCTGTACAAGAAAACACTATAAACTCTCTAATTACAGCAGACTCCCTAGAACAAAGAAGAGTATGGAGCTGAATAAATGGAAAAGTCAATAGCTGCCGTCTGTACCATACGAACATTGTTGGCACCAGTGAAAGCAGCATGATGAAGCTCATAAACATCCTGAATTCAGCCTGGTCACAAGACTGACCTTCTCTTTCTTTTCTAACCCTAATAAGATCAGTCCCCTCACTGCCTGGCCTGCCACTCCTGAGTTCTTTGTCAGATTAATTCACCCCTTAGTCCCCTAGAGTTAGAGAATGAACCACTCATGCCTACTGCTTTCAGTGTCCGTATTGCCCTTTTAATCCAAATGCATAAGGGGGAAGGAGGGCTTAAGGTTAATCGTTAGCTAAAAAAGTATCAGAGGTTCACTCATGGGAGCCTTAATGATTATCATGTGCTGGAAATTAGCTGGGCTTGCATATTTTTCTGTAGGAAGAGCTTTATGGCTAGTGTCATCTCTGCCACTGCTTCTGAAGGAAAACACACACACACAGAGCAAGAAGGCCATGTGGCTAGTGCTGCAATTTTGTTATTAAACTCCCTTCCCATTAAAGTGTTCTGGATACAGATATCCCTCCTTTGCTTAGTATTCAGATTGTTTTTCACCGACCTTCAAACAAGAGTTTGTGCTCAGAGAAAAAGACTGAAAAAATGGTTTCATTCATATCCGTATCTGGGAAAACCCCTGTACTTGCCATTTGAACCATGCTCCTAGCCTAGGGCCAGCCATCTCCATCCAGAAGAGGATGACTGACTGGCAGCACTTGTCACTCTGAAAAGTGAAAAGTATTCGAGAACTCTCAGAAGAACATCTTGGACTTTGTCTGGGACCACTCTGTTGCTGTGAATGGGGGACAGAAAGGTTTCAGTAGAGGAGTGCAGCGTGCAAGGACTCAGAGCCTTGGTGGCCTGGCATTTCTTTTCAGCTGAAGCGAAACATTTGGGAGATACAAGCTATAGTGGCATTGATATTACTGAGCACTGTAATAACATTATGAAGCAAACTGATCTGAAGCAACTGAGATGTCCAACTTATCACTGATGGAAGGCCTTCTCTTGGTCCGTGCTAAGGATGACAATTACTTCCAGAGTATCTAACGAACTACTCTCTTGCATCTGATTTCCATAATTAAAAGGTACAGCTTGTTGTTCTATACCTTGTGGAATGTTACGGGTAGACAAGCCTGGGATGTTGCACAACTGCCTGTTACACTAGCAGGGCTGCCTCTGGTGAGATCCAGATGTTTGTCATGTTGTAATTTATAGCACCTATGTCTACCAGTCCAAGAGAATGCTAGCCTACTGGTTTTCTGGAATGGATGCAAACACATGTGCATAGCTGGGCTGAGACAAATTCCCACAGCTGAACTAGGTTTCACAGTTAAGGGTATGAAACTATTAATTAAGTTATAAATGAACAAATACAGCACTGAACCTCTTCTATGTCCCCTTCTGTTCTGTTCCGCTCAGTTCAACAAAGCATTCCAGATGCCAAACTTGGCAGTCTAAATTATGCCTTAATTAAAAATGTCCACTTAGGCTTACTTTTAGGATCTTAATTTTCTGCGGGTTTTGCGAATTGAGTCACTAAAATTCTCAAGGTGTGTTTACTTCTATACTTTAGATATTTCTCCTTAAAGTACTTCAACATTAAAGGTGTATCCTATTTGGTTGGCCAAGTGAAATGATTTCTAATCAACTTTCAGAGGAGGTGTTATCATCTTTACCATGACTATTATTTGAAAAGCATTTAAAACTAAAAAAGGCAAAAAAAAAGTCAATTAATGGGCAACATAACAAATGGCTGGAGAGAACTTCAAGACACACATGGGATATGTGATGTGTCCTGGGGCTGATGTAGAAAGCAGCGTTTCTGCAGAAAGATGCAAAACATAAAAAAATCTATTGTATGTGCACAAGAAACTGCAGAGTGAATATGCAGTTAGAGGTGAACCACTTTATAGCTGAATGACCTTACAGGTAAATGCAAGGGCAAAATCATGAAGCATACGTTTAAGTTAGTATTTTCATAACCATGCATAGTTCCATACAGGTGAGCAGAGTAGCACACTCTGAAAATGTGAAAGAAAAGAGTCTGTAAGTAGCTGATGCTGCCGTATTGACTCCCATGGAAAAGTTACAGAAATATGTACCTAAGGATTTCAAGTTAGAGAAATCACCAATATTCTGTTTGCAAAGGGGTTTTTTTTTTTTCCCCCTAGTGTCAGGTTGCAACATAGGAATAAAACAAAACAAGATTCTGTACAGTAGCCCAGAAGTTACATCATGCCACAGGAAAAAAGAAACTTAAATATATACATTTGGAACTAAACTGAAGACTTATGATTTCTGAGTGAGTTCTGAATCTGGAAGAGGGAGCTCAGCATGGCTTACCACATTGGAAATGAAATTTGGCTTCCAGGTAAAAAGGCATAATATACAACATGCCATAATAACAATACTAGCAGATCCCTTTTGATGATGGAGTGACAAAGCACACTGTCCAATCTAACTTCTATTGTTGCTCTTTCAATATTTTTCTGATTAAAAAATAAACAAAACCTAAGTTCACGAATATTAGAAATAAAAAATGCTGAAAGCAAAAACTTTTTGAGAGTAGCTGAAGTTGGAAGTTGAGTGTTACTCTGAAGTCCTGCTGTTCCAGTGCTCCCTGAAAACATTAAACATAAGAGTGCATTTTGTCTCAAAGCTAAGGAACAAAGTCTGACAGAACGTATTTTTAATCCAGAGCTGAACATGACCTCCTTGATTATTCCTTCACTTATCATATCTTCCTCCCTCAATGTTGTTGTAATATGTGACTGACCCAGTAGGATCCAGCTTTTCCCAGAGAAAATCTGAGCCGTTCCGGAAAGGACAGATAAAAAAATGACATCCTGGTCTACAATCAAGATAATGGATCACTTTACATTTATTACCTGGAGCAAATCAAAGGATTCAGGGTTCTCCAATTGCTTTGCCTATTGTTGTATAGTCCCTAACAATTCTTAAGCTTGGACAGATGCTAAATAAAAGTTAGGCCAAAAATAACTGACATGGTTTCCTCACTCTGTATTTCAAAAGCCAGAAAAAATACCATTGTGATCAGTAGGAGTATAATTTACATGGACACAAATAAGCTGTTTCTAAAATAAGTAATTAAATGGTTGAAAGATACCCTGGCTGATCCTGTCATCCTCAAACTTCTGATGAAGAGTGAATTTTTGGACTAGTTTTTCTGGAAGAAATGTCTCTGTACAGCACGAGATGACAAACTGGATGCAAAGATCCAGGGACCCATTCTTCCACAGGGTATGCCTTTTAGCCTGAACAGTTTGTAAATGGAAATACTGAATTATTTTGAATTTTCTTTGCTCCTTGAATGACTTTTAAACCCGGCACTTCAGAGAAAAATTGAGGAAATTATTTTAGGACCATGTTAAATATAAATAACAGTAACACTGCCTTTCTTCAGGCATGACACTGCCACGTGGCAATTTTCTACTTCTGATTTTATTCTCACTCCAAATTTAAACCAATTACTTTGACTTCCTGATTTAAAAGCACATAGTTGAAAACATGAAGCATTTTCAGATAAAAGTTATAAAGAGTTCCAAGATTTCAATAGTGTTTTTCTCAGACAGATTCCATGAAATTTAAAAGAGTTCCCTTGAATTCTGTAGTTATTGTATGGGAGGCAGACCTTGTTGCTGTTCTTTATCTGTATAAACGCATTTGGGTAAACCCACTGTTGGCCCACAAATACAACTAATTGTTTAGTTCACTGTTTTTGTCAAATTAAGAACTTCAGCTGCCCTAAAAAATAAACAGAAGATAATCTTTAGAAAAATCTCAGGTGTGGTCCCTGAGCTTTCCCTCAAGGGAAAGGGAAAACAAAGTTTTAGTCAAAAGTGTTCAATTTTATTGTGGTGGTGGTGTCAAATCAAGGCATGGATAGTAACTATTATAAATATCTATTTTACATTGCTTGCCTTATTGGTGAGGTTTCAAAGCAAACATTGCAGGGAGTGAAACAGAAAAAATATTAGAAAAAGAGAATTTAATTTTGATTTAAACAATAATAAAAGTGATTAGTATGAAATCTAAAACCAGAAGTTTGATCGTTGTGGTTATTAAAAGTGGACTTTGAAAACACAAACGAATTCTATATAAAGCTACCAAACATGTTATATGTAACTAGGCATTCCCAGATTTTGATCTTGTTGGCATCCATATTCACCAGCTGGATATTTGTTACAGGCAACATTTACAAGATCTTAACATTTTATTACATTGAAGTGCTCTCAGTTTATACTATTGACATAAAACACTTGCAGCCTACGATTGATTAAACCAGGTAAGAACAATAAAATCTTTTGTTGGGAAGATATTACAATACATACTTACATGGTTACATGTGTGAACCTCATTATTCCATTTCAAAGCCTCTTTCATAAAAAACGCAGGAATGAAAAAGGGAGATTGAATTAGGCATGTCCAT